TTTCAAAAATACAATTACTAATGTTTGAGTTGGGAGTTATTCGAAAACTCGAGTACCACTGTACAGGAACATCTGTTATAACATGAAAAGAGAAGATTGCTGGCCGGATAAATTAAATATATTTTGTTATATTCAGGTCGGCTGTCACACTATCTGGCATCAATTTGGGCCTGTAGTGTGCCCGAATTATTGGATTTTGCAGATTACAGAAGTGGTTAGGTTAGAATTCCACTTATTTAAGTTAATCAATTGACTTAACAACAGAAAGTTTGTTGAAACACAAAATTCTATTTTCCACTATGTACTTTGAGTCAATTTCAAGGTACTTTACATTGTGTGAAACCAATAAAATTCTATATCTCTTTCTGTAATATATCTTCTATTCTATCAAAATGGAGACCATTAAAAAAAACGAGATTACAACCATAAATCCATACGAACGAAAATTATACGCTAATGGCGGCTGGCTAATGGACTGAGAAGTGAATTCGTTATTTATGTTTGATTTTTTTAAATTTTTGGTGTTGTACATTAAGAAGCATCTTTTCCATAATAACTTGCGCCATGTTTTAGTAGTAGCAACAAACAACTGAATATAAAATAAATTACCAAAAATCATATATGGCAACCCAAGCAAGGTACTGGAAATAAGTCACTTTGACTTTTTTGGGTTGTCCTTGGTTCTCTGTACATGCGCCCCATGGTCCAATCGCCAAAGCCCTCACTTCACATGGCGAGGGTCTGCGTTTGATTCCCATCAGTAAAATGGGTACATAAGTCAACTGGTGTGGGTTGCATCCTGGGACAAAACTGACCTAATTTGCCCGAAATGCTCTGCATAACAACCGGCTTTCTATACAGTAGTATGTCATTGATGTCAGCTAGGCCTGTATACCATGTACATGTACTGGTAGTAAATAAAGATTTTTTTTTTTTTTTTTTTTTTTTTTTTTTTTTTCTTGATGTCAGCTAGGCCTGTATACCATGTACATGTACTGGTAGTAAATAAAGATATTATTATTATTATTATAATCTATGTGACTGTATTTGTGTATACCTGAATAAATTTACTCTGTTCAACTGAGTACAAGAAAACTGCCATTCACTATTTCAGCCTTACCCAATAAAGTGGTCATAATTGACATTAGGCCAATTTCACCACAAATTTCAAAATTGGGGCCAGATAAGCAGTGCAAAAATTCCGGGCAGTAAGATACAGTTCTTGTTCATTAGTCATGTTCCAGGCCTCGAGCTTACCAGTTGGAATTTTATTCCACACAAATAATTAGAGATTTACTGTTATGCAGTCTACTGCATTATTGTTAATAAATGTATAATTATGTCAACCCATTGTGGATGCTATTGAACTGGCCAGTCGGACACATTTGGCGGTGTGTATTTGATTATCTTGAACTCGCCACAAGAATCGACATTTCTGCTACTTTGAGCTCAATTTCTAGGTACTTTTTGTCATGAAACCAATCAAAATCATATCTATTTCTGTAATATATCTTCCATTCTATCAAATGAGACCAAAAAACGAGAATACAACCATATAAACCATACGAAAATATTCCCTAATGGCTGAGAAGTGAACTCCGTTATTTATCATCTAATTTCTTTCATTTTTGGTGTATGTTAAGAAGCATCATTCCATCATACATTGCCCAAGTTCAATAAGATAGCCCGACAAACAGGTACTGGAAATAAGTCTCTCTGACTTTGAGTTATTCTAAGTTCTCTACACATGTGCTGCTATGTATGATAATCTATGTAGAGAAAATAGCTTTTTTGTTTGTTTTATGGTGCATTACGAGTGTATATCACAGCTCTGTGCTACACTCGTTTTTCTCTAATATAAGCCGCCAAGAACAAGGATAGGAGGATGGTATTTAGTATCCTATATACTCAAGGAGGTTCCTTGACGCTGGTGAGGGGCTCGGATCCTAGGATTGGATCTGTACTCCGGTTCACTGACTTCGGCCTTAATACCTTCAGTCCCCCCCCCCATGCACTATAATCAAGGTTTAGGCGCTTTCCCATGTTTATAATAATAATGATGTATCCCTACCCTTTTTATTTGTTTTTATTTCATATTAGATCAAATTGTGATAGGTAATAAAAGCCGTAGTGTTGTTCTTAGCATAATAAAGCATATTTCCCCTGGCCTTTCTCCTGCAACTGACAAGTGGCTTCAAAGCCACCTTACTTTATGGTCATTGTTCTGTGTATGTGCTTTACCACAGCGAGAAGAGCACTTCTTTTATCATTGGAAACCATGGCTAGGGCTAAAAGTAAGCAGGCTATAACAATAAATAGAGGAAAAAGAAATTTGGAATGACTTATGCAGCAATTAGTCCACCAAACAGTAGCAGCAGGTTGGGTGGCGATCTGGAATTTTGAAAAAAAATTTTGCTAGCCAAAAATTAGTGCGAGTAATGATGGAACGATAACTGATTGCCTGATTGTGATGGCTGACCTGTAGTACAGTATATTAATTAGTGTGAATGAGGGTGAAAGTTTTTTTTTTTTTTTTTTGTTACCCAACCTTGATGTGAGCAAAAAAAAAAAAAAAAACAAATAAAAAAACCCAGTGTGTTAAAAAAATTATGATTAGGAATTTTGGTGGTTGTAGCACTAAACAAGTCAATTGTAAATTGTGATTATTGTTTTAGGATCTCAAAATGGTAATGGTTTGTGTATTTCAAGGAAGCTGTATAATGAAGAAACAAATAAGATGCATGAATAGATAACAGTAAGTCAATTAGGCAGTTCAATTAACACGTGCTAAGAACTAGAAATACGAGTAGAGCTAGTGGAAACATTAATGTGTATATGTTGGTTTGCAAATAACAAAAGGTACTGCCCAATAAACAAATACATTAGACAAATCTGAAAGTGGGATATTGTTAATTTACTTGCAAATCACAGCATCTGGATAATTCTGCACTGTCTGATTAACCCATTTAAATCACAATCCAAGCATTTTTTGTGTTTTTAAGATATGAAGGGGTATCTCTACCTGGATGGGATAGCCTTTGAGTTAAATTTTGTTTAAAAAAAGCCTCACATTCTGCCTAGTTATGCCATTGTTAAAACTTTTGTGTATCCACAGAATGTCTTTAAGTAGGAAAGCCACCACCAGCATGCAGTGATTACAACTATTGGTCTTCATATGATTATATTTTTAAATAAGTTTTAATGTTTTAGCAGTGGGCTTACCACCCTACATCTCTCAAAGTAGATTGCCATGAAGGGAAGAGTAATCCACATCCAAAGTTTTCCACTGTTCTTCATCATTCCGCCCAGAAATGTCTAGTGAAAAGTCTTGCCTGTTGACATCTGTGATGATTTCAGCACTTTAGTGTTCCTTCATCTACACCTTTGTTCTTGATTCCCTTCTGCCTGTTCCTCCATTTCTTCCTCCTTCCATCATCCATCCCAGGGATGGCACCAGAATTTCTGTACTGGGGATATTACTGGTGGCTATCAGATTGGAAGGGTAATGGGGGAAGGGTAGGAGACCTTGTTTTGAAGCAATGTTGATATTACTAACTTTTTTTTATTTGGGATGCTGAGGGAATCTTTTGGGGGGATCCCTCATCTGTCCCATCCCTCACTCAAGAATATATGGCTGATACTTTGTTTACATGTGATAAATTTACTGACTAATTCTACAAACATTTTTGTAAAGAGGTGACAGCATTAAAAAAATGTGTAGTGGAATCTAATGAGAATAAGGATTTGTATTCCTTTAGTGCAGTAAATCCAGAGGCTCAATTTCTGGCTAAACCAGAATTCCAATTCAATCAAAATAATAAAAAAACTTAGTCTTTACTTTGCTTTAGCATACTCACACATGCCTGCTAAATGCTCAAAACCCTACTTCAAACTCCACACCATCTCCATCCTTTAATGGAATTCCCCTCTCTATCTGTCCACTCCACATCATACCATGGTCACCTGCCTATGCTCCACTTCACCAAATTGCCAAACTCATCTTGGACAAAATCCTTCTGCTCACTAAACTGTACTTTTTTATAAACCACACTGATTTATCACTACTCCTCAGCATGGGAAATTCACCACCACACACATTGTACTAAGTTTACAAAAAGCTCCTGCTCTGTCTTCTTGCTTCTTTTCTTGGATCACCCCTGCTCGGTGGAGACAACCATCGTGTTAAAGAAAAAAATCTGTAATTTGCTTCAATAAAATTCTAAAGACCCCTGCAAACTAGTGACAATCTTACAATGTTACTGTACAGTACTAAAATATGAAATGGAATAACTCAGTGAGATGTATGGGTGACCAAAGAACCACCATAATTCTCCTCTACTATCCTTTTCTTAAGTACAGGAGAAATAACAAATTGAGAATAATATATGAGAAACTAATAGATAATTAATTAGGAAATGGTAATAAATATAATTGCACTATATATATTGATTTAAAAATATGGAAAGCTTGAACTCTGTTTAACAGAAGAATGGAGTATGTAGTGTTATGTTATTGTTGAGTAACCAACAAGGAAGGACTGGCCTCAGGGCTTGACTGCAAGGGTTACAGGAACTTTGAAACAAGTCAGTATATACTTAGGAGATCATTGTAAGCTGGTGTATACTATAATCATGCAGACTTCAATCTTGTTTACCACAGTATTAAATCCTGTGTATAAACTTACATACATGGGTGTTTTTTGTTGTAGATTTGTGGATTGCTTGCCTGCTTGCAGAAACTTTGTTTTCCTAGCTTGAAAGGAGACCCACCGCTGGGGATTTGATGGCCCCTAGATTGAACCCAGACTTTCACTTCTGGAAAGATAGTGATTGAATGATGGTAAATGTGTTTTCTTCTTTGGGTCACCCTGCCTGGGCTGGAGACGGATGTTGAGTTTAAAAAAAAAAATATATATATATACCGTATTCACATACATACATTCACATATATACTGCATATGCATTCAAATTATAACTGCTGCTCCTTATTTTATTTTCAAGGTCATTTAAATCAAAACTCTAGTCATCTATCATCTATTGGTAAGTCATTAAAGGAGAAGTTTTGGTATTGCTTGCAATGTAGCTTTGTCTGTTTCCTAGATACTCAACATGTGGTAGAAAAGTTTCACTTTACTTTCCTGCAAGTCTTTACTGTGCTCTGTATGCCTGTTTTTAATTCTATGTAATGGGCTCTTGTTTACTTCTAGTTTTATTTTATAAGACACTTGTAATGTGTGTGCCGCTGTATTTGCTCTACTATGAGCATGTGGGTTTATTTCCTTGGAGAATAGTACTTGATAATGGTCCAGGACAGACCAAACCCTTGCTTAAATATTTATCTCCAGTTTGTGAGTGGTTGTGACTTTTAGTCTTCTTTAATGTGGAGCACACTGCAGAATACCACCATTTTAGACTGAATTAACAGTGACCTAGACCAATAAGTAGTGAGAAAGACACTATGGTTGCACTGAAATTTTACTATGATGTTTCATCCATGACTATTTTATCAGTTATCTAAAATCATGCAGATACTTGGCCTTGTTAGGAAAACAAGCACCCTGAGGCTAGGCTGGAGAGAGAGGTCGTAAGTAAATTAACAAATGAGGTCACGAGGAGAAAGACAACTCAAAATGAATATTTTATGTGCAGGGATGGGGTGGGTGACGGTGTGGGGGCAGGTTCATAGGAAATATTTATATTATCTGTCTACTCATGACCTCACATTGTCACCACTCCAAAGCCTGACCTCTGGGTGCTCATTTGCCATGTATGTGTTTTTGCATGCCTGATAAAAGCCAGTCATGGATGACACATAATAAAGATTTTACTGCAAACATAGTGTCTTTCTTGCTACGTTTTTAGACTACTACTGTTAGGGGTAAAAGGAGTAAAGTTTAATAGTACTATTAGATAGATGTATTTTAAAGAAGATATTAGAATGACAGGCAGCTAGCAAAATAAATCTAATAACAAAGATAATAAATGTAAATATAGTGAATTTCCTAGGATAAATTACAATAAAGTATTATAATTATGCTTATCTTTAATCTGGTTAATAATGACATTCATGGAAAATCCATTGAGCAAGCTTAAAAAAAATGTGAATTTTCTCTTGAGGTTATGTGCAAAGCAAAAATTATAAAAGGTACTGTGAAAAACTTGATTAATTGAAACTAATGTTCAGCTGTTCACTTTACCACTCTTTGTTAGGATATCAACACCAGGGTTGAGCAGAGGGATTGCCAAGTGATAACAGATTTGTTTTTGTATATTATATGAAACTGTCACCTCTCCACAAAATGATTGTGGAATGAGTTTGCAAATATATCTTGTATAAAGTAGTCATTAACTTATCTATAGTAATCTACACATAGTCTATCCATGAAATCTCTAATGCACTAGATTTTACAGCTTTCTCCAGTTACTCCTCTTCAAGGGGGGCTCCTTGGCGTGGTGAAGAGGCTCTTGGTCTGAGGAATTAGTCCTGTCGGTCTTCTTCCTCAGACCGAACCTAATTACCCCCCATTCTCCCCTCCCCTATCCCATCCTCCCCATCCTCCCCTTTTTCCATTCCTCCTCCTCCTCCTCACCCCTCCCTTTTGCCCTTCCTCTTTTTAGCCTTCGTGATTTCTCCCACAGGCGCGCTAGTTCCTAGGTAGGGTAAAGGACACCGGGTCCATTCCCATTTCCGTTGATGTTTCTTGCGAGGCGTTAGTTTTGCGCTGTGGAATCTGGATTGCCAAGGATGTTACCGATCCTCTTCCGGTATCCCCGGAGTATGCTTT